GCGAATAATTATCACACGAAATGTCACGCTATTTTCAATTAATAAACACTACAATTAAGTGGTCCAAACCATCAAAGGAGTCATAAATCTTACTAAACAGTGTTAAATTTAGAAAAAAAATCTAATTACTATGCGAAGTGGTTTAGTCGTTTCGGAGAAAAGATCTTAAATGACGTGGGTACTCTATGTACCTCAACCTAATGATACAATCGTAGATCTTGACGATAATGACACTGCTTACAATTCCGCTCATACGTTTGCACGAGGTTTTAACAAAAGGTTATTACTCCTTTTTCTTTTTTTGCACGTGCATGATGGAGTCACGCGCATTTTTTGACTAATGATATTTTTGTAACCATTTGAAGACATTTTTTGCCTAAATCTGAATTTGCGATCATTAAATTCTATTTATCTTGTCTTATACTTTTGCTTCATCTTATGCTTGGCCTGAAACTGGGATTTTATTAATATAATTTTAATGCCAGCCTCCGTAGTCCTGCAGTGTTCTGACCTCGGCTATTAATTAGTGTTCCTTGCGACATCCTCGAAAGAGATTAGGTGGCTTATTATTAACCAGCAGCAAAATATGGCACATTGCCACAAAACATTAACTAGACTTGCTCTAATTAGATTCAGACCACAATCTTACAATGTTTACATTATTTAGCTTTCGAGTCAAGCTGGTGGCAAATTGAATTCTTGCATCTTCCAGCCTGGTTTTTGCACTTGTACTAACACACATTCATTATGTTGAAAAAAAATTCAGTAGTAGTTAATTACGTTTTTAAACTAGAGTAAACATTCACGAGCAGTCAAGATAATATTTTTAAGCTCGTAAAGTGAGTGCTCGAGGCGTGAATTAATTAACTCGAAGCAGTAACTATTTTAAAACTTGAAATCTTTTAATTAGTCGAACGGAACCCTCTTAGTGCAAGAAAGTAGTTAAACCGATCCGTTTCCTTATTACTGACGCTTATTTTAGATATTGAAGGAAATGTTACTTGTAACATGGCCCATAAAAAGTAGGTTTTACTGTGAGTTTGTTCGTGACTGCTCTTTTCCATCGTCGAGATTTTCTTATCGCTAGTAGTTAATTAGACATATTCCAATAAAACCCGTGTTGTATTTAGATACGAAAAATCATTGCTATATTTTGTATAACCGGGAACAAAGTGCAAATCCCATACCAAAAAATGAGTCTGTTTAGATGTCTTGGTAACAAGTTTGGGATGCGGGTACAAGCGCAATACCGCGGCTTCCGCTTTGAGCAGTAGAAGGAATGTGGTGGTTTTTAGCCAGTGAGAGTCTGAAACGCCGCCAAGGGCGGGAGAAGTTACATGATGTTACTCTGCCCTCAAGAAACCTGAATAACAAATAAATAAGTAGATATTTGAAATTACTATTACCACCAATCATCGTTATCTTTCTGAGGAAGTCAAATTATTAGAAGATTTCTTATTGTTAGGATTTGACTACTCATCTTTATAGCCAGGTAAAAAAGGTGTTCTTATTAGTATTTAGTAAGTTAGAGAGAACAGAGAGAGGCAGTTAGTAGTTATGTAAAAGTTGAAACCGATATAATATGAATAAAGAAGAAACATTTCGTCGTCAATAGAGTGAATAACACACTTGAACAAAAATTGTTATTAAACTGAAACACTTTTCACGAACTTGGCAATATTTGGAGCCCCCCTCACCTTCCAATGAAAAAACGTAAAGTTACGGGTGAACTTGGGCTATAAACACAGTCTCAATTGCAGCAGTTTTGCTTCAGTTGATAAAATTGACTGTTCTTTCTCAAGTTAGTCGTTAAGTTTCTGTATCTGTTAGTTCCTTAGACAAGTATTGCTTTTGAGAGTTCAGAGAGTAGTGCTAAGTGGCTGCAATTTCTCTATAGGTTGAAGAATATTACTGATGCACCTTGAGTTCACTCATTTTGCAATTTTAGAGTCATTTGTTTATTGTTTGATGTGGAATAATATCTAGTTAGATTATAACCAGTAATAATTTTGTAGATAAGAAAAAAATATATAACATGTTTTTATGGCATAGATCGGCAAACGATCAGACGGATCACGTAATGGTTAGCGATCGATATCGCATCATGGTCAACCGCAACGCCAATAAACTTACACTTGCAATGGCGATTTTAATTGTGTGAGATGTTTGAGCCTTCGGTAACCTCACTCACATGGCACATGGCGAAGTACAACGCAACTGTTGTTTAGCGATGGTATTTTGTAGAACCGCCATATCATTATAATCAAGCCAGCCCATTCCTGCCAAAGCGTGGCTCTTCCACGCTTAAGTGAGATGTATATTACATCAACACCTTTCTTGTAGAGAAAAGAGATATAACAATAGAATCTTCTTTGTCCTTAACAAAGTCACATAAAACATTAACAGCTAGTGCCAAAATACCAAAGCGTGATTGATAGTTGGGCAGTTGAAGGCTGTCTTCCACACTGAATGTTAATGAGGAACAACCGACGTGTCTACAGGTATTTGTAACGTATGACAACTTTGCGGTACACGCCTACCGGTATTTTAGTTTTGACGAAGGTTTAAATTCGCTCATGTTTCAATTTTCCAACACTTTGTCCACCCACATCCACCTTGTTGATGAACTAAATTTTGTGAGCATAGGTAAGCCCGTTGGAGCTGTTTTCAACCAATACTAGGTATAGATATAACTTTAATTAAAAATACGTCAGTCCGTGAAGCGTGAAACTAACACTTTAGAGACATGGTTATGGTTTTACAGTAAAGCGATACTGCTTAGCATGGTATGGTCTTGCAAACTACAAACTTGCAATAATTATGTATACAAATATCATAATCAGTTTCTTATGCAAGGCTTTTACATGTTTTTTGTATACATGTGCCACTCACCTGCATATATACTGCCGGCCAAGACCCAAGTCCCAATTTACTACGGCTAAAGATTTTGATAAACTCTTATCATTTATTCAATATATTCGGTGTCTTCTTGGCTTCCCTTGACCAACTAACATGATTATGCGAAAGCTATATTTTATACGGGTATCCATTTTTCCACGTTTACGTCCACTTTATATTACGCTGCAGATGTTACGACACCCAGGGGAAGAGCGAGGATGACCTACTTTAAGCTTAGTGCAACAGTGTTTGAAACTTCTGCATTAGAAAATTCTTACACAACATCACGTAAAACTTTATGTATCTATACAGCACTGAGTTTAATAGCACTGTCATTTTCTATGCTCATTCCATTTAAAATCGTGATGATAGGTACATACGTATTCTGAAATCAACTCAACTTGCACAGAGGTATTTAATTAAGCTTCCTCTAAATTTGGGGCAGCATTAACAAGGCGCCTCCGGGCATGGGATCCATCTTTTGTACTCTTGTTAGCTTAGGTGGGGCAAATGTGTATTTTGGTCGTACTCTGAAAATGTGCAGGTACACTAGTACAGCATAGAATTTGGTGTGATAATACTTTTCAAAGAGAATGTACTAGAATTCAGCGCAAATATTCATTGTGCCCACGTTGCTAAAAGGGCGAAATATTTTGATGAAAGCTTTCACATAGGAATTTTCCTCGAAATAATTAAAATTCTTTTTTATGTTTTAACAGTTTCGCAATAAAATAAAACGTTTTGTTTTACCATGTTGGAGTTATTTCGTCAATTCCGCCTGTTATTTTGTCAAAGGGTTTCGAGGTATTTCAGTTATAAGTGAGATTACAGTTTTATAAAATGAATGCGATATCGCATCTGTATAGTATCAAAAATCAAAATTTGAATGGATTTCCTCGAACGACATTGTTATATTGAGACTCCAAAATATTACCACGGAAAATTATGATCATAAGCAAAGCTTTTGACAGCAAAATGTTCTTTACCAGTTAAGCTACACATTATATTCTTGAATTCAGAGAATCCACGTCAATCATTTTGTCGTTTTATTTTCAACTCCAGCAGGAAAAGGAAAGAATAGAAATTATAAGAACTTTTTCACAGAATATGGGGTTCAACTGAACGGGCACAGAAGTAAGGCCATCAAACGATTCTTCTTTATAGATGGGTTAGAATGATGTTTTTTTTTTATTTTCTCACAGAAATAGCAATTTTAGTAGTTCAAAACACAGGCACATAATGAAAGTATTCTACATATATTATGACGATGGACACTTACGGACCGTGTTTCGCGTATTTTATTGTGTTTGTCTAGACATTAAGGTCAAGACTATTGTTATAAATTGAAAATAGACCAAATTCTTCAAGGAGAACATCTCCAAGATTAGATGGAGTGACATGTGCGTGCAGTAAATTTGCTGAGAATGTTACTTATTTTTCTAAAACTGACTCAACGTCTAAGAATTCTGTCCAATGACTGTTTATCCTGTAATTGATGTCCCACAATTTAGGGTTAAATGGGCAAATCGAAGTGATGTCACCACTTCGCCAGTGAAGTTACATTGTGAATTCTATTTTTAGGGACGCCGTTATATTAGAGAAGTAGGTCGCTTTGAGATAGGAATGAATAAGAAACATCAAATGCTGTGAAAAAGTTGATATATATTTTAAACATCATAGGGTTATCATAAAGTCTAGAAAATAAGTCTCTTTTCATATGGACCTTTATGTACGTCATTGATGTTTAAAGCTCCGTCGTCATATATGGTGTAGTCTATCTATGTGCTGTTACAGAATTATCCCAATTTCATTCTTTAAAAAATTATGATTAAAACATACCAGAGCTGTTCGCGCGTGACAGCTACAAAATACCTATAAATTGCAGAGACCATCTAATCTGTGACACTTTTTGTTTCACAATAATTTAAATTTATATTCCTCACGGGGTATCAAACGGAGCGACTCAAAGAGATAAGCCTTTTGAAATATGCAGGCAGAGATAAAGAGTTGAGTATTTTGCGCAATTTGTTTAACATTTTTATCTTTTTTCCATCAATCTTTTCTACGAAGCTTTTCAATGGTAATTTTTGTAACATTTTTAGCTTTTTGTTCCACCTTAAGTCCGCCTTACGAGGAAAGATGCTCCAGTTTGCTGTTCATTGCATGAATTATGAGAGTAACTACGAGTTATGGAATAATCCATCTCTCGCCGGCTTTTACAAGTTTCCCAGCTTCGCCGAAGGTTTCTTGGAGGTAGTTCGTTCATTATTTAAGGAAGTAAGGATAGCTGTGTACCTGTTTCTATTTCGCATTATGGTCTTGGATGTAATAATGATGATGTTGTTTGTAGGGTAGAACTAGTTGGTTGGATATCCAGAACAGTACAGAACTACTAATTCTTAACACTGGTTTGTGCTTTGTAATATAGTTATTATTTCGAATCCTTGAATATAAACAAGCATGGTAGTTTCTCATTAATTTTCCCATACATAGAATTGTATATTTTCTTCTTTCAGAAACTATTTGTTTGTGATTTCTACAAAATCTATTTTCTCTTCAGCCGTTGTTTTCATAAATAATAGGTAATAATGTTTAACATATGTTATGTTGTTGTTGTATGTTCTTTTCTTTCTACAAATATTTACATTCGACTCGCCGACATACAAACAGCATTACCAACACATTAACATTATATTATGTTCTCGAGTACTTATTTTATCGATCTACCCACATGGGGTCAATGCCCGCTGATAAGTTTAAACAAGTTAATCTGTGCTCGTAAATCACCTCTATTAGGTAAACACGAGATAAGTAGTTATAAGTACATTTTTCTATGTAAAAATGGATATTTTTAACAAATATTGTATATTTGTTTCTTGCTTGCGCTAGGAACGGTAATTAGCTAATTACTAGACCACACACAGGAGCTTGTGCAACGAAGTTAGTTGTTATTGAGTTATTACATAGCAGGAGCTCGCAGGAATGGGTTGTTATTGCAATTATATCACGATAATAGCTGTCATATCAACGTCATAATAGTAATTGGTTATCCTATACACTAAGGGATTGGCATTGGCAATTTATTCCATATTTAATTGATACGTCTTTTATACTTAATACAGAGGCATCATGAAGGCGGACCACCTAATCTACGACACCTGAGGAGCCACAAATCGGATGGCCGGCCTTCTCAAAAGAAGTAAATTTATTATTTATTTAGATTGTTGTCTTTGATATGCGGTAGATTCATCTGCTTAACATTTAACACCACTGCCAGTGACCACCACTTTAAAAAGATTTGTCAGTCAGTCAATTGTCAGGTCTTGCGCTTTTTTGCCGGGTGTGGCAAGAGAGAGTGTCAGACTGTTATTGACTAAGATCATTCCTTCTCCTGCTCCAGGCCGAGGCCGCGGAATTTTATTCTGCTTAACCCGACGCGTCAGTCACTTGTGCTTCATACTTACTTGCTTGCTTACTGCAAAGTTTTGTATCTCAGAACAGACCCAAATGGTGAACTCATACATTTACTAATAACAAAACATGATATTCCACTAATTCGATTAGATTCAATATAATCTGCCTTCTCGAATACAATGCTATTATCTAACAATATATCTATGACTTTAAAACGTCTTCTATCATCCTCTAGACGTCCTAAATTCTTTAGCCGGGTTATATTTAGGCATTTGTAAGACAAGACGGCTCTCCCAAATATCAATAAAATATTGGATGCTATTAAAATGTCACAATAAATAGAGAGACGATTTTTCTTCTCAATTTTATTGTCACATCTCGTCCCCGTGTCCCTTTTCAGTAGTTCTCTGACGTGTTTTTTCTGTTTCAACGTGATTTGGTCTACATTTATCTTCATTTGGTTTAGGGGTGATGCGGATTGACCTGCACAGAATAAGGACTTTTGTTAATAATTTTAGCTAGGTACTATCTACTAATGACTAGACGCATTTTGTAAAATTTGGTAGGTATATGAACTAACTTTAAAGGGGATTTTAATATTAATCTAATTTATTTTTATAACACAGGTATGTGCTACAGATGTTTAGTTATAAAAAATGGAATTTTCATAAAATCTGCTCAATTAGAATAGAGGTTACCTTTTGTTATTTTTATTTTAATGAAAATATGTAGTGTCATATGATATGATAAAGTCTCAAAGCATTACTTTAACTGAGTGAGACTCAAATTTTCTTGGAATAAAATCATGCAGGAATTGCTTTAGATTTAGACGCCTACTTCAGTTGTCTGTTGTATGATTATTTGATTTATCACTCAGCTCAAAAATTGAATGCAGTGCCTTACGCATAAGTAGCTTGCAATGCGACTGAAATTGCGAAGTAGACGGCAACGAAGTAATTTTCATAAATCACAAACATGGATAGCACATAATTTCTACACACAGAACATAACATCAAAAAAAGAAAAACAATACTCCGAAAACAATGACAACGAAAGCCACATAAAGCAATTTTTTCACATTGAAATGGACCCACTGACGCAAATTAGTTATAAAAAATAAACAGCAACAAACACGAGTTCAACTCCACACTTTATTGTTCCAAAGAGAAATATTCAAGCGTGGAACAATGAAATCAGTAGAGAAGTTTCGCACAATAACAAAAACATTTTAATTGTTGGTAATATTGCTCTTAACATTGAGAAGGTATAATAACAATAGGAAATGCGGTCAGTTGAAAGCGACAGTCCAAGAAAACGTGAAAATGAGAGTCCTGTGAAAAATACACAATACACTTGTTCAGTGAAAGTGGTTAATAATTAGCGGGTACGTGAAGATTTTGCGGTCAAACATTGTTCACACACTCGACGAGTTTATCGCAATGATCTACGAGCGACAAAGCAAAGCTACACTCACAAGTATACATTACAATTTAAGACACCACATTCTTATATTACTTTAGATTGGCCTTCTTTTCGTTTCTTTTCATGGAACTATTCTTAAAACGGGCTCATAAAAACCGGGAATCAACGATTGCGTTGCATTTTGCCGTAAGAGGGAGGCACAAACCCTGCACCCAGTTTTAATTCGGGTTGCGTCTGTTGCGGGTGCCCCAGGGCGGTGATTGCTTACTATCAGGTCTCATAAAAAAATCTGCATAATTCTATATATAGTTTATCAAAGCTATCTTTGAATTTCAATAGGCCTTCAAGTATGGAAAGGCAGTAACTATCACAATGCATATACGGATATGATATTAAAATTGTTGCATTTGTGGGGCCTATTGTTCATTTTGTCAATGGAAAACCGTTACGACACGCTGTGTGCTGGCGATGAATATAACGTAGTTTATCAATGAATCAGTTCATTCACTCTACATGTTTCACCCACTGAGACTGCTATAAACATAAATTCTAAAGTTCTTAATGGAGGAAGTCTCATTCTACATTTACAATTAGCCTCTCCGCTCTCATGCGCAGAGTACGCCCGAGGTGAAGCTAGTTGTAACTTTTTAAATTGATTAAAACATGTTGCCATGGAAGCAGTCTGTATCGAGCGTAATAATAATGTAACATACGATAACTTTGATGAAGTTATTTTTGCTTTGTTATTACATAAAATCAGGTTTATTTTTCTTAGGAACTTCTTCATCGAAATCGGGAATCGACCAGACATTTGGCGAAACGCCACCGCTTAACAGGATATCACACCCACCATTTTCTCCAAATTTTTCATCAGAACTGGTAAGTAATAGTAATATAGAATAAATAAGGTCCTAGAGTGTCCTAGAGTCTGCTACACTTACATGTTTTACAGTCCAAATGTCTTGTAAAGACCTTATATAGGAGAATATGTTTTTGCAAGCCCACACAAATCTTACGTTAAGGAAGTTTTACGCTACTTATATTTAATACTTTTTATTTATGGTTATTTCCAACTTGGCTCCACGGTTGCGCGGCGGCTGGACCACAGACTACAGCGTAACGTGTTCGCTTCTTAAACGAAGCAAGTCTTTGTGTGATCTACATATTGTTGTTACAGATGTGGGTGTGATGTGTATGTGAATTTGTACGTTTGTATACACACCCATGATACAGTAGAAAACCCCAATGTTGGGAAATGTTATTACAAAAGAACTTAGTAGAAGCCACGCTAAGACTAACATTTTTGTCGTCAGAGTTTCTGGGAAAGAATGGAAGATAATCTCCTTTTCCTTTTAGTTCAGTAAGAAGTCCTACATAAAAACAGCTTTATTTTCTACTTGCTGAAAACGAATTGAAAATCGAAATAAATCAATGATTTAGTTTTTCGCTCCACTTAAACTGCATCTTAATAGAAAATAAGACCGTGATTTACGATTAGAAAGAAACACATGTAATTAAATTCGAAACAATTATCAAAATCCATAATCTTTTTTCTAAGCGCTTAACAATTTATAGCACAATTTTGCACCAAACAAAAACCATGTTACGTATTATGGATGCCAAAAAAAACAGTTTATAAATTGCATCACAGAACAGTGCCTTACTTGTTATGATCTTAACTCAGTGGTCTGCCAAGTGTGAAATGGCGTAGTACCGTTGTGGCTGCAGATGTAACGGTGATAAACGATTAAATAAAAGAAGTCTAAATTACACTATCGCACATCGGTATTACGGTAACTATAGCGAATCTATATATATCTTCCTGGAGCAAAGAAGTGCGATTTCTCTTGATGATGATTGTATAGGAACACTACCACGGCTACAATTGTCTAGGAATGTAGTGGATTAGATCATACTCTGAATCCAATGAATTAGCACGTTATTGATAGGCCTTCGATCGAAACGCTCTTTAGTGTGTCTGTGAACTGAACGTGTTAATATTTCGTTATAATAGTGTTTAAGTATAAGAATTCATCTCAACTGAATGCTTACATCCCTATTTTGAACCCCCTAGAAAGTCGTGGAGAGCAAACAGCAAGAAAAATACATCCATTTCTTAAAGAAGCAAACAGCATTACCATCTTCATAATCCTACAACAATATTTGTAGTAAACAAAAGCTTTAATATTTACTTTGTTTCAAACACGAGAGCGTTGTTTAATATTCTCGTAAAATTCTATTATATTTTGGTAGCATTATGTTGCTTGAAGTAATACCGACGTAAAGTATGTGGCTGTTCGGAACTGCATGCAACATATTGGGTGTTGCGAGGGTAATGGAGCATAAGTAAAACTTGTCGGTTGGAAACCAGCTCGTGCCGTTATTCCGACGACTTTTAACTAAGTTTGCTCTTGCTGTGAGGGAATCCTTTCGACTGGAACCGGAACGTTTTTTGGCTTATTTTGGAACTTTTCTTTTACTGCCTCGTTGATTGTAAATCTTATTACCTAGAATGTATAGACTTAGTAAAGTTTTGGATAAGTATTATTCAAGTATATCACCAAATGGAAATAGATAGTCACATGAATTGACAAAAAATGGAAGCCAGTATGATTCATCCCTTCTTTTCGTGGCACAGTTGCTAACACACTCATCTTGTATTATTTCATCTATCAGATTTTAACCCATGATTCAGGATTGACGTCAATCCACATTTATTCATATTTAAAACGATAATAAGAGCAATATTTTTTCGTAGCCATATACTTAACTTCAGAAACGTTATATGATAAAATTTTATCTTCACGTTGAATTATATGCATTAACTATGAAGATTCATTTTTATAATAGCTTTTTGTATTTTTAGTCAATCGTGATGTTTTGTATTTTAAGTCAATTCTATGTTTGTATCCCAAGGTTTTATTTGGCTCGACCGGAGCGATACCTCGGCCTCACAGAAAACCAGCGTCAAACAACTACAGCATTGTATTTATCCTTATGAGTGAGGTTACCGGAGGCCTAGTCTCTCTAAATATATCGAATATTTAAGGATTGGGAAGGGTACCCCTAATCCCAAAAGGACGGCAACGTACTTGTAACTCTTCCGTTGCTGTAAATGTCTGTGGGCGGCGCTGATTGCTTACCTCCAGGTAATCTGACTACTAGTATGACGTATTATCACATAAAAAACCAAGGTCCTTTGTGTTCTATAGTTATCGGGTCGTTTTTCATAAAGCTGTGGACAAAAAGCAATTTTTGGTCCTATAACTGCAGTTTTGATTTCATCATTAAAACGTTATTTACCTAAATATTCTACTCCCACTAATCATAAAGTCAATTGAGATAGGTCAACGAGGTGTGTAGGTGT